CAAAGCTGACGTCTTGGACCCTTTAGTAAAAAATCAGAAACTCCAACAACCCCTTCAAGAAGCAATGGCAACAGCAGCAATTTAGGTGGGAAAACACAAAATAACCAGCAATTATAGCAATATAAACTATCAAATGCAGCAGAAATCAACAAAAGAGAAAAATAAAATTGCAATTGAACACGCAAGTAAAAAATTCAAACCAAAAACGCAAAAATTGATACTACATGAACCCTAGAATAAGAATATATACCATCTAATTCTTGCCTAAAATCGAAATTGATATCATGTTAGCAATAATGTCATGAAGCAAAAAGCAGGAGATTCAATTCTGATAAATAAAACAGAAAAATTAGGATAGAAAACCGTAGAAAATTATTACATATAAAACTATCCGATTACACAAACTCTAGAGGTTCTCATGCATCCCCTTCATCACTATAATCGTCCTCATCAGTATCATCATCCCAAAAAATAGCGTCTTCAGCATCATTACTATCGGTTGAGTCCTCAAAGTTTGACTCCTCCAAAGGGGGTTCAATGTATGGGATATCTTCTTCATCAGAATCATCGCCGTCCTCGTACCCAGGAATATCATCCGGAGCACTCAAGGTTGGTGCCTCAACATGTGTTTCTTGTAAAACCTCGTCATCTACTGGAGCATCAACAGTAGACCTTGCCTTAGTCTTAAGCACAGCGCACCATTGAGCACGATCTTTTTTCAAACTAGGGTACGGCGCAAAGTACACCTGCTTTGCCTAGTATGATAGCACAAAAGGATCGTACTTGGGGTATTTCTTTGTGTGATTGACTTCTAATAGTTTGTAATGATCAACATTCATGCCCCTTGTCGGGTCCATCCAATTGCACTTGGACAAAACACTTTTATAAACTGTGGTCACACTAGTGAACTCAAGCTCAATGACATCCTGTAAGATACAAAAAAAAATCTCCACCTTCCTCATTTGACACCCAAACATCATAATTCTGGGTTGATTTATGCATTCCATGTGCATGAGTCTGGAATTTGTATCCGTTAACATAGTACTGGTTCCAAGTGCGCACTCGTTTTGATGGACCCATTGCTAAAGCAAACAATACGTCATCATCCGGCTTATCTTGAATCACCTGCTTAGCCATGGATATTTTAGTACTGGAAACTTCATGAATCAATACAATTTTCATACTTAGAATTTGATAGTGGAGCAGTACTCACTTTCATCCTAAACCATTCGAGGAACTCAACTTCATGATGAACCCACACATCATATTTACGCATTGTGGGTCAAGTATGTAGAATGTACTCCTCAAAACCCCTAAAATTCAACGTAAATTTGAATTCCATTGTGAGAGTATTGAAAGCTAATTTATGTATTCTTGTTAACCGAGAAAAACTATAATAACCACATGTATTAAACAATTACCTCTCGTAGTGCTCTAAAATTCCAATATTAGCTAACACATACAAGTGTGCTCGTATAAGTTCAGCCTCATCCAAGAACCGAAGAACACCTCTGGTGGAAGGACGTCCGTAATCAACCCTAAAGCATTTTGGGACACTTTCATCCAAGTTACTTTGAACATCATTATGAACCTTTTGTGGTAGGTCCCTAGTTTTCGGATCTACACCTTCCTGAAAGTACTTGCTACAAAAGTTTGATATCTCTTCGGCAAGGTATGCCATGCAAATGGACCCTTCAACACGGGCTTTGTTGCCAATTTTGCGTTTTAAATGATTAAGAAACCTAAAATATTAACAAACTCTAAATCACAAATGTATGGAATGGAAGTGGCTATAGTAGTTAATTGTTGTAAAAAAAATTATCTAAGCAACTTTATATTACCTTTCAAACGGATACATCCAATGGTAATGAACATGTCCACATAACCGAGCTTCATATGGCAAGTGGACAGGTAAATGTTCCATGAAATTGAAGAATGATGGAGGAAATATCTTCTCAAGCTTACACAATATCTAAGCAATGTTGTGTTCCTACCTTTCAATGTCAAGGTGATTGTGGAACAACACAAGTCACGAAAGAATAAACTTCTCAGTATTGGCTTTCCACACATGAAGAGAGAGCAATTCCTTGAAAGCAACCGGTAACAATCTCTCTATAAAGACATAGCAATCGTGGCTTTTCATACCATATAGCTTACACGATTGTAAGTCTACACACCTTGCCAAGTCAGAAGCATAATCGTCCTGAAACTTCAAATCTTTGACCCAATTGCATAGTACCAGTTTTTGGGCCCTATCGAGGGAGAATGGTGCCTTCGATATAGTTTCGTTTCCTCGAGCATCCTCCATAACATGGAGATGTGGACGTTTACAAAACTTGGCAATATTTTTTCGGGCGGCGGGTGTGTCGCAAGTCTTTTTTCTCATCCATAACAGTATGAAACAGTTGGTCAAAAAAATTCTTCTCAATATGCATGACATCTAGGTTATGGTGTACCAATAGAGTCTTCCAATACGGTAGCTCCCATAAAGTGCTTTGTTTGAACCAACTCTTTTTCGACTTTTTAAGTCTTTCAAGAGCTTTGGGGCCATCCGTAGCTTTTGGCATTTCTTTAACACACTGCCACAACTCCTCGTCGGACAAGATGTGTGGTGGATGACTCTTCTCCACCTTGTTTCTACAGAAGGCGACTTTGTTGTTACGAAATGGGTGATCAACAGAAAGGAATTGTCTATGACAATCAAACCACGAGACTTTACCCCCATGGTCAAGCCAAAACGTTTTAGCCTTGTCCATACAGTAAGGGCAAGCCTTTTTCCCGGCTGTAGCCTAACCAGAAAGCATACCATAGGCCAGAAAATCACTTATTGTCCACAGAATGGCAGCACGCAGATTAAAATTCTACTTTCTAGAAATGTCATAAGTTGTTGCACCAACATCCCATAATTTCTTCAAATTCTCGACTAGAGGTTGCATGTAAACATCCAAATTCCCTTTTGGATTCTTAGAACCCGAAATAAGCAAGGACAAGAACATGAATGGCTTTTTCATGCACATAGAAAGAGGCAAGTTGTAAGGGGTTAAAATCAACGGCCAACAAAAATATTGACCACCAAACTTACCTTGAGGAGCAAACCCATCGGTACACAATCCGAGTCGCACATTACGAGGTTCTGATCAAAACTCGGGAAATGATGTGTCCAAGTGCTTCCAAGCTTCACTATCACTAGGATGTGCCATGATGCCTTGGATTCGAGGATTTTTAGAGTGCCAAGTCATTTCTTCGGCAACATTCTTGGTTGCATACAACCTTTGCAACCTAGGAGTGATTAAGAAATAAGTGAGGGGTTTCAGCGGTAGCAAAGACCCTTGTGAAGTTTTCTTGTATCTGTTGCTTTGACACACTCTACACTTGTCCAATTGAGCATCAGCTCTCCAAAATAACATGCAACCTTTCGGGCATACATGAATTTTCTCATGGAGAAGCTCCAAACCTTTAAGAATCTTCTTTGTATCATAAAATGTCTTACCCATGTTGTTGTTATGTAATACCTCATTTAGTAAAGAAGCAAATGCATCAACGCACCGATGAGGCAAATTGTATTCACACTTCATAGATACAATTCTAGAAGCCATTTCCAACACAGACATGGAGCTCCCCTCATACAGTGGTTTCTAGGAAGCCCGTAAAAGGTCAAAAAAACTCTTTAGCTTGATCATTAGGTTCTTCCTCAAAACCGCCAGGGGAAAGAGTAGCCGGTGTACTAATTAAAAATTCTAGTGTAGTCGTCGACTACGGACCACTACGGAAGACTATGGTCGACTACAATGAGAAATTAAATCTCAACTGTTTATTTGTAAATTGACTAATCCTAGGCGTTCAAATAGACACCTAAAAAAACAGTCATCAAGTCTAGTCATCAAGTCATTAAGTCTTGTTTGGTTAAATTAATTTGTTCAGACGCTAGCTTGTTTTTTTTTCTTTTATAAAATTGAATAAAAATATCTTCCAAATAATAAATATTCATCTTCAACCCATATCATCTAAAACCTTTAGGATCAACTTACAACATTCATTCTTTTGGTACAAATTAATTAAATTCTTATATTTAGTTTGATTTCATAAATTATGATCAATTTATTTATTTGTGTCATTGTTTAAAAAATATCTTTTTATAATATGATTTTGTGTTAACACTTGATCGGTCATATGATTTCAAGATTAATACGACATTGCTAAATGTTAAGAATTAATTTTATGATTTTATATTATTTATTTAATGATTTAGGAATTAATGTATGGATTAATCGTATTACTTTGTGTTTAACTATTATTAATCGTATAAAATTATGAATATCATCCACCATTGTTGAACGTTCAAGCTATGACATTATTTTAGGATGAAGACAAATAAAAATAAAAAATAAAACAAGATTTTAGGCTAAAGCTATAGTTATAACTCTTAGCTTGTATTCCAAAATCATTAGCAATTAATTACTCAAGCTTTTAGCCTTAAATTACTGATCTTTGTGTTAATCTTAGAGTCGGAAATCTTGGTATATAACATAGCAATTGAAGGCAACGAAAAGGAAAAAGTAGCATACGCACAAGGCTTGAAATTCATAAAGTAGAGGGAGACAAGCAGCTGCTTTTAAGGGAAAATAGGTTAAAAAACTCATGCTTAATGAAGCAGCAAGTAATTAGTCAAGCTTCGTGCAAGAATTTCAGGTGCAAAATCACTCAAGTCAAAGTTCTTTTCTACCTAGAATAGTACCAGTTTATTAAGGACATCTATGTAAGATAGTGAATGTAAAATCAGTCCCGACAAGTAAGAGGTCTTTTATCAACATCATAAACTTATATAGTCTGCTTCTGGTTAAATCATCAAATATCAAATGTCGCAGCCTGAGATATGTTAGTTCCTCTCCTAAGACAACTCAACTGAGGTGTACGCCTATTAGTTACTAGCCTATGACCAACTATTAATGTTTGAGACTAAGTACACATTCCAACAATAGCAAAACAAAGGTCTACAATATGTTTTACCATCTGTTTTATGCATGCACTGAAGTTTGTAACACTGGAAATAACCACATTTAGATCACATTTCTAACATTTCTACTAATTCTAGTTAAAGTTGCATAAAACTTACTCAAAATGGTTATTATTATGCATATAATTCAGATAATAAATTGAATAACAATTATTGGATATTATTGCGATCTCTCTAGCCCTCTTATTGGCTGGCACTTTTCCTTTACCGGGAACGTCCTTGAAATGGGTCTTTAAGAACACCTCAGGGGCGGACGGGAGAACTCCACCAGATCCTTTGCCTGTTTGCATTCAAAGACGATAGATTAGTAGGGAATTGTATTAGACAGCTACTAAATATTATATTAAAAAGGATTCACGTATTATTATGAGGCACTATTTTCTTAGCATGCTGAACCGACGAAATACCTGGAAGTGTGACGGTTCAATAGGATTAGATAGGGTACCGCCTCTTCAGTTCTTTTTAGCTTGTTCAGACTTCTTTAAGAACTTATCATCCTTCCGAAGAGCCAATAATTCTGCAAAGACAGTTTCTCCCATCCAGAATGGACGTTCTGGATTTCTAACACTATAATTGTAGGACAAGTCGCTCAAATGTTTTGCAGCCTTCTTCTTGTACTCTATTTCAACAACACTCTGCAAGTCTGGAGGCCAAATGAACCGATCCTAGCAAAAGGGCAGAAAAATGTTTGAGAAATTAAATGTTTATGAAAATTGAAAAAAAAAAAAATATACCTTAAACTGGAAAAAAAAAAAAAAAACCTTAAACTGGTTCCACCAATGAGTCCTAGTGCCATTGTCGACCTTCTTGTAGTTAATCCAAGGTTTGCGAAAGTGAGCCTGGATGATGTCTGTGATTGCATTGGACACTTTATGGTTATGGAACCTGGGAATAAAGGCATAAAAACCGGTCAATACTAATAAATATTCATGTATCATAATTTCAATTTTTAACTTAATTACATGCTTACCATAACCCGTCAGGGTGTAAAGTCCGTCTCAGCCCTTGGAAAGAACTCTCACCAGGCTCAACAACAGGTGTAGACGTATTCTGGGTAGCTGGTGTACTAGCATTAATTAGAGGGGATCCAAAATACTATGTCTCAGAGTCATCTACTGGGGTCTTTGGTATCGGTGTCTCTGAAACATGACTGTCATCTATTGGTGTCTCTGGAACATGACTACCCTGGCTGTTTTGCGTTTGTGACGATGGGAAAAGTTCCTTCCTATAGCCAGTGACCCCCCGTACCAAAACTCGTCGTTTACCTAATGTCATAAGAACCTGGGCAAAAAAAATCATATGAGACCAAATAAATCAAGTAGCATCAGAAATTTATATTGGTGATCCTCAGCATTAGAAATTTACATTTGGGGATCCAACCCCCAAATTTTTACTAAAATTAGCCAAAATTTCAGATTTATTTCCCAAATTTTTAAACCCCCTAGTGAATTCTAGTTCTAAAATTCATTGGGCATATAACAAAGCTGACGTCTTGGACCCTTTAGTAAAAAATCAGAAACTCCAACAACCCCTTCAAGAAGCAATGGCAACAGCAGCAATTTAGGTGGGAAAACACAAAATAACCAGCAATTATAGCAATATAAACTATCAAATGCAGCAGAAATCAACAAAAGAGAAAAATAAAATTGCAATTGAACACGCAAGTAAAAAATTCAAACCAAAAACGCAAAAATTGATACTACATGAACCCTAGAATAAGAATATATACCATCTAATTCTTGCCTAAAATCGAAATTGATATCATGTTAGCAATAATGTCATGAAGCAAAAAGCAGGAGATTCAATTCTGATAAATAAAACAGAAAAATTAGGATAGAAAACCGTAGAAAATTATTACATATAAAACTATCCGATTACACAAACTCTAGAGGTTCTCATGCATCCCCTTCATCACTATAATCGTCCTCATCAGTATCATCATCCCAAAAAATAGCGTCTTCAGCATCATTACTATCGGTTGAGTCCTCAAAGTTTGACTCCTCCAAAGGGGGTTCAATGTATGGGATATCTTCTTCATCAGAATCATCGCCGTCCTCGTACCCAGGAATATCATCCGGAGCACTCAAGGTTGGTGCCTCAACATGTGTTTCTTGTAAAACCTCGTCATCTACTGGAGCATCAACAGTAGACCTTGCCTTAGTCTTAAGCACAGCGCACCATTGAGCACGATCTTTTTTCAAACTAGGGTACGGCGCAAAGTACACCTGCTTTGCCTAGTATGATAGCACAAAAGGATCGTACTTGGGGTATTTCTTTGTGTGATTGACTTCTAATAGTTTGTAATGATCAACATTCATGCCCCTTGTCGGGTCCATCCAATTGCACTTGGACAAAACACTTTTATAAACTGTGGTCACACTAGTGAACTCAAGCTCAATGACATCCTGTAAGATACAAAAAAAAATCTCCACCTTCCTCATTTGACACCCAAACATCATAATTCTGGGTTGATTTATGCATTCCATGTGCATGAGTCTGGAATTTGTATCCGTTAACATAGTACTGGTTCCAAGTGCGCACTCGTTTTGATGGACCCATTGCTAAAGCAAACAATACGTCATCATCCGGCTTATCTTGAATCACCTGCTTAGCCATGGATATTTTAGTACTGGAAACTTCATGAATCAATACAATTTTCATACTTAGAATTTGATAGTGGAGCAGTACTCACTTTCATCCTAAACCATTCGAGGAACTCAACTTCATGATGAACCCACACATCATATTTACGCATTGTGGGTCAAGTATGTAGAATGTACTCCTCAAAACCCCTAAAATTCAACGTAAATTTGAATTCCATTGTGAGAGTATTGAAAGCTAATTTATGTATTCTTGTTAACCGAGAAAAAACTATAATAACCACATGTATTAAACAATTACCTCTCGTAGTGCTCTAAAATTCCAATATTAGCTAACACATACAAGTGTGCTCGTATAAGTTCAGCCTCATCCAAGAACCGAAGAACACCTCTGGTGGAAGGACGTCCGTAATCAACCCTAAAGCATTTTGGGACACTTTCATCCAAGTTACTTTGAACATCATTATGAACCTTTTGTGGTAGGTCCCTAGTTTTCGGATCTACACCTTCCTGAAAGTACTTGCTACAAAAGTTTGATATCTCTTCGGCAAGGTATGCCATGCAAATGGACCCTTCAACACGGGCTTTGTTGCCAATTTTGCGTTTTAAATGATTAAGAAACCTAAAATATTAACAAACTCTAAATCACAAATGTATGGAATGGAAGTGGCTATAGTAGTTAATTGTTGTAAAAAAAATTATCTAAGCAACTTTATATTACCTTTCAAACGGATACATCCAATGGTAATGAACATGTCCACATAACCGAGCTTCATATGGCAAGTGGACAGGTAAATGTTCCATGAAATTGAAGAATGATGGAGGAAATATCTTCTCAAGCTTACACAATATCTAAGCAATGTTGTGTTCCTACCTTTCAATGTCAAGGTGATTGTGGAACAACACAAGTCACGAAAGAATAAACTTCTCAGTATTGGCTTTCCACACATGAAGAGAGAGCAATTCCTTGAAAGCAACCGGTAACAATCTCTCTATAAAGACATAGCAATCGTGGCTTTTCATACCATATAGCTTACACGATTGTAAGTCTACACACCTTGCCAAGTCAGAAGCATAATCGTCCTGAAACTTCAAATCTTTGACCCAATTGCATAGTACCAGTTTTTGGGCCCTATCGAGGGAGAATGGTGCCTTCGATATAGTTTCGTTTCCTCGAGCATCCTCCATAACATGGAGATGTGGACGTTTACAAAACTTGGCAATATTTTTTCGGGCGGCGGGTGTGTCGCAAGTCTTTTTTCTCATCCATAACAGTATGAAACAGTTGGTCAAAAAAATTCTTCTCAATATGCATGACATCTAGGTTATGGTGTACCAATAGAGTCTTCCAATACGGTAGCTCCCATAAAGTGCTTTGTTTGAACCAACTCTTTTTCGACTTTTTAAGTCTTTCAAGAGCTTTGGGGCCATCCGTAGCTTTTGGCATTTCTTTAACACACTGCCACAACTCCTCGTCGGACAAGATGTGTGGTGGATGACTCTTCTCCACCTTGTTTCTACAGAAGGCGACTTTGTTGTTACGAAATGGGTGATCAACAGAAAGGAATTGTCTATGACAATCAAACCACGAGACTTTACCCCCATGGTCAAGCCAAAACGTTTTAGCCTTGTCCATACAGTAAGGGCAAGCCTTTTTCCCGGCTGTAGCCTAACCAGAAAGCATACCATAGGCCAGAAAATCACTTATTGTCCACAGAATGGCAGCACGCAGATTAAAATTCTACTTTCTAGAAATGTCATAAGTTGTTGCACCAACATCCCATAATTTCTTCAAATTCTCGACTAGAGGTTGCATGTAAACATCCAAATTCCCTTTTGGATTCTTAGAACCCGAAATAAGCAAGGACAAGAACATGAATGGCTTTTTCATGCACATAGAAAGAGGCAAGTTGTAAGGGGTTAAAATCAACGGCCAACAAAAATATTGACCACCAAACTTACCTTGAGGAGCAAACCCATCGGTACACAATCCGAGTCGCACATTACGAGGTTCTGATCAAAACTCGGGAAATGATGTGTCCAAGTGCTTCCAAGCTTCACTATCACTAGGATGTGCCATGATGCCTTGGATTCGAGGATTTTTAGAGTGCCAAGTCATTTCTTCGGCAACATTCTTGGTTGCATACAACCTTTGCAACCTAGGAGTGATTAAGAAATAAGTGAGGGGTTTCAGCGGTAGCAAAGACCCTTGTGAAGTTTTCTTGTATCTGTTGCTTTGACACACTCTACACTTGTCCAATTGAGCATCAGCTCTCCAAAATAACATGCAACCTTTCGGGCATACATGAATTTTCTCATGGAGAAGCTCCAAACCTTTAAGAATCTTCTTTGTATCATAAAATGTCTTACCCATGTTGTTGTTATGTAATACCTCATTTAGTAAAGAAGCAAATGCATCAACGCACCGATGAGGCAAATTGTATTCACACTTCATAGATACAATTCTAGAAGCCATTTCCAACACAGACATGGAGCTCCCCTCATACAGTGGTTTCTAGGAAGCCCGTAAAAGGTCAAAAAAACTCTTTAGCTTGATCATTAGGTTCTTCCTCAAAACCGTCACTAGTCTCTGTATGACCCAATGTTTCATGGTTATTCCTAAAAGCATCAATGACCATTTCACGGTATGGATTGTGTTGCTCATCAGTGAGGGAACTTGTAGATACCCATTTGTGTCTCCCCAAAACCAAGCCGGTGATGAGTACCTTTCACGTCGAATCATAATCGAATGAAGTGAAAGTGTGGAAAGTCAAGTGCTGCGAATAGTTTTAATTTCTTTTCTTTTCTCTCTGTTTTTGAAAACCTATTTTAAGGAAACAGCCAATCCAGTTTGGTTGGTCCATGATATGGGTCCAATAGTAGTGTAGTTGGATGGGGCTTAAAAAGACCTTTCCAACGATATATTATAAGCCCAATTCCGATGAATAATGAGGAAGTTATGATAAGATTACTAAACTAGGCCCGGTTTGAACCTTATATGCGGCCCAATGATCTAGGGGAGGGCCTAATATGGATTTATCATTCCTAATGCAATTATGAATGGTTTTTAGTCTTTTAGATTCTTCTAGAAGATTCTTTTCATTCCTAATTCAATTAGCATTGATAAATTGACTTTTGTTGACTATTTAGAGCTTTAATTAGAATAAAAGAATGTTTTTGAGGAAAATACAATTTTATCCTCCTGTACGGTTAAATTTTATCTGATTTTAGAAAACGCGTCAAAAACTTGATTAGCGCCTAACACCAGCATTAGCGCCATTAGTGTCTGGCGCTAATATAGCGTCTAGCGCTAACTCCGTTTTTTCACGTCAGAACTCTAGTTCGATTTTCTATCTTTTTGGCTGATTTTCTCTATAAATAGCCTCCTAAAAACTCCGTTTTCAAAGAACCGATTCTCATCTACAATCATCAATTTCTTAATTTCTCTAATTCTCTTCTCTCTTAAAGCTAGAAGCTTTTCTCTCTTTCTCTTCTAAACCAACCCCTTCATACAAAATTCCGCACTCACAAGACTAAGACACGCCTAGCCAAGTTCGAAGTTGCCTTCGCCCTAGACGTGAAAGGTTTTTAATTTCTGAGGGTTTGGTCCCAAATCTCTATTTAAATCGTTTAATTTAATTGTTTGATTATATTTATCTTGAAATTACTAACGTGTGTATTTTGATTTAAGAAAGAGGTACGAGGCATCCAAGTAAGTGCTTTAATGGTTTTTATTGTTATTATGATATAGAAATCATGTCTAGGTTGTTATGATTCCTAGTGTTATGTTAGGGTATTTTGATCTTCCTAATATCATGTCTAGGGTAACTTTAATATCAAGTATGATCAAAAGTATGATGTCTTTTATGTTCTTTTCCTAATATTTATAATCGTTAGTATCATGTTAGGGCTTTATATTTGATTTTTATTGCTTAGTGACATGCTAGGGTTTGTTATTAATCTTGTTAGTATCATGCCTAGGATCTTGCTATTATTATTATGCTTTAACATGATTATTTTAAATTTTTATAAGGGTTATATTTTATTGTTATTGCTTGATCACACCTTTTATGCATGTTTAAAGGGAATTTGTACTTGTAATCACGCTTAATAAGATAATTAATAATCTTGTTTAGGGTTAATATGATTATAATTCAAGTGATCGCCAATAATAGATTTATTTGTGCATTAATATTCAACCAACATAGATAAACACGTTTAGGTTAAAACCTATTGATTGCATGTTAGTCAAAAAGCGCACATGAATACGATCTAAATAAAGTAGAGGCCTATTATTAGGGCAGATTTAATCTCTTTTAGGTTGGATTTGTACCATCATCCCCGAACTACCAGTCATGGTTCCAGACCTATTTGGAGTTGACGATCTCTTGGATCGTTAAGGGGTGTAACCTTCACCTCGTGAACGGTTTACAAGTTCCTAAAACTTGTTGGCGACTTTTGCTCTATCTTCTTTCCCTTTGGATGCCACCGTACTTTAGTGTATGATCACAGTGGGGTTCAAGCTAGGGGTAATGCTTGAAATATTCCCTCCAGTTTTTGGCGACTCCACTAGGGAGGATTTCTATTTTAATTCCTTAAATTTATTTCGGCAATATAATGATTTAAAATGAGTGGATGAGACTCGAAAAGTTCTAAGTATTTCATGTGTGTAATTTTGAAACATATGCATAAAAAAGATCTCATTGGAAAGACCATCCGTAATGAGTTAAAACATAGGATTTTTACACGTAGGAAATTTGAGGAATATCTTTCACAACTAGGATCGAAATAATGCTGCGCGAAACTGGAAAATTTTATCAAGCACAGATAGCTGCTGAGGCATGTAGGAACTAGCGTCAGGAAACAAAGTCTAGCGGCACTTATTTGACTTTAGCGCCAGGCGACAGCTTCTGTTGGCAGGCGCTAATGCCAAATTGTGGTGCCTGGCCTCTGTTTGTTGGCGCTAGGTTCTTCCAATACCGAGCCAGAAATATGCGTTCTAATTTTTGACCAGTTTTTAGCACTATTTGCTCGATCCTACTTCCTGATTGAGTTTTTCTCACTTTTTTGAAACCCATATGTGTTCTACATATGGACATAACCCTCTGGGAATTCATGCTCCATCTACCTGATTGAACGCTCTGAGCAACAAAGGGTACATCTGAGAATGTTTAATTCACCAAACCATGGAAGCGAGTTTTTCTAAATTCGCGGTGTCCCATCCACTCGTGCCAACCCTTCACGGTTAGGCTTCTGCGCGGTGCATCCGGACAATTAACCATGGACCCTCTATTGACTAACCCATATCCCGAACTTTAGAGAACTAGAGCCATGGTTAGGTTTGCAAACTCATTGCATCATATTGTGACTACTTGACTACTTGTGCATTCTTTGCTTGTGCATACTCTGTGTTTTTCCTAACGTTTATTTGACATGTGATTAAGTCTAAAAAAACTGATTAATTAATAAAGGAATTTTTTAATTAATTGATTAATTAATTTGAGCTAATAAATATGCCTTAAATCGAGTTATAGTCCCTTTAAGTCAACCCGGATTTTTATTCCCGTATACTGCACAAACGTCAACTTGTTTTGGTCATAGCCGGGGTTCTAGGAAGAACTACGAGTCCTACAACCTATGGATCTGTAGCTTCGAGTTTTATCTTTAATTTGGCGTTGGTTTCGTCCCAATCAGAGTCATAGATCAAAAGTTATGACTAAAATACCACAGCTTGTCCAGTTTAATGCGCATACGTGAGGTCTTAACTTAGTCTTTGTTCGAGTCTAGTCACATACACATAGTCTAGCCACATAGTCATGACACGAGTCTTAACATGTCACCTACACTTACTAGTCTTAGCACACACTTTGTACATACTCTTTTCACACCATGACCATGTCTTAGGTTCATGCATGAGACGGTTTTTTCCGTCATTTGAGTTGGGGATACATTCTATTCTTAATTTTTTCATATCTCTCCATCTACATCATCTTTCCATTCTCTACATGTTTTCTCCATATCACAACCTTCATTCTTCCTACCTCCTTCCATCCATGCATGTTAAATCGAGTTTGAGTCATATGATTGACAAAAAAAAAAAAATGACGGTAATGATGAAACAAATGCACAAGGCAAGCTTCTCACCAAGATTTTATGCTTTCTTCTTCTTTTTTTCAAACCCTTTCCCCAATAAGTCTAGCATAGGCACCCTTCATCCTCCTTGAATTTATTTCTTAGAGTTTGATTTTTACCCTTCACTTTTTAAATAAAATGAGCATTAATTTTCTTGCATATGATCATTACATTGCATTCAATTAAAAAAAAAATTCATGTCAAACTAAGCACAAGGTATACCAATGATTTGAGGCACCCCTTGTAGCCACATCATATTACCTTTCACCCTTCACTTATACAATCCTTTTTTGATAAACCACTTTGAGCCTCGTCTAACGATAGACCTTTCTTCTTCAACCCATATCTACCTAACCTTGGGATGGGATGGTGTGTAACTTATGCAATTTCAAAAGCTTGAATGATTTCAATAGATCAAAATAAATAAAATAAGCAAAAAATAAATAAAAGTGTACAAAAAGGGCAAGTGCCAATGTCTTTGACATGAACATGTCTTTGATATGAACACGTCTCAGATTGCGTCTCTTATCGAGTGCTCGGGTACCGTACCTGAGAAAAATAAATGCCAAAGTGAGTGATAGACCGCATGATCGGGATTGCCCACACTTATAAAAATAAAATAGATGCTAAAGCAAAAGAGGAAAGAGAGCTAAAACAGAGTTAAAATCCTCAAGCATAAAAATACAAAGATTCAAAAGCAAGGTTGCACACCTTGGGGGCTTATCGAGGGTCTCGAGCCTTTATCCCCTTCTTCTTCAAACCTTTAGCCTAACCACGTTACAACCCTTCAAAAGACCTTTTTGAGGTATACACACACTTGTGCGAGGTGGTTCAGCTAGAGCTACGTTCGGCCTGATTCCTAACGGATACGTAGGCAACCTCACATCGAGGTGCGGCCGTAATAAAAATGCATTCATATTCACATTCACACACTCACATCATGATCATATCAAGGGATCTCCAATGCTCATCCTTATTCACTTAGAGCTAGACTTGGGGGCTTGATCCCTACATTGTTGGCCTACCTAGCGTAAGAGTCACCATTATTTAACTCTTCTAAAAATAATATCTTTCCACACACTTAGCCTTTGCGGCCTAAATTTAGTGTCACTATCACACACATCAAAGATACATGACCAAATATACTTCCCTTAGGAACCCTTTGTCATGGAATCTTAACACAATGTTGAAGCATGCCTTGTCATATCAACATCACTCATCAATCATAATTGTCATTGCATCACGAAGTATGAAGTGCTTAGCCTCCGTGACTAAGTTACCCAAATACTTTCATCATTGAGTCAACCATTGAGATAGCCTAGGATGGATTAATCCTTGCACCTTGAGAGATAGTATCAAACAACATTTGACTAAGCTCATTCAACATGCACCTTCAAAAACCTCGCTTCTTTCTTTTTCACGTCTTTCTTTTTCGGGAGAAAGTCGGTACCCTCCACAAAGATGACGGAAAAAATTTTTGCTTTTTGCATTTTCGAGTCGCACGATCATAATACAATTCACACATGGATCATCAGTCACACGTGTCATTTCA